TATTGCTCTTGTATTAAATCATTTTGGTTTTTTTGTAATAATAAATGAGTATCATTATTCCAAAATCTATTTAAGTAAGAATGTTCTGATATATCAGTTCTACTACTGGTTGAGGTTTTGAAACGTTTTGTGTCATTTCTTGATTCTTCTGACGCACAATGGCGTTTTTTAGATGCATACTTAATAACTGTACTTCTTGTAAAGCTGTGTGCCACTAAATCATTAGTTGCAGTTGTTGAGGGCGAAAAATTAAATAAACCATAATCAGCATTTTTATGTCTGCTATTATAATTTTTACCTGTACCATCTGTTAAAAAATTAGAATTAAATTGAATATCATTCATATATTCAACTTCTGTTTTAGTCGATTCTTGACTTTTTTGTTGTAACCTTTCATGTTCACATAATTCTTTGTTTTCAGATGCTCTTGAAATATCTGCTTTATTTATTCTTAGATCTAATGGTAAATTTTGATCTAATATTTGTGTTGAACAAAAAACTTCCTGCAACCAAAATAACATTTAACGGTTAAGATATTTTAAAAATTTATCTAAATTTAAAATTAAAATATCATTCTGTATTAAATTAAGATATGATAGAATAAATTCAATATGTTGCATCTCATTACGATCAAAAAAATTAATTATTAAAAAAAATTTTAATTAAACTAATTAAAAATTTTAATAATCAAGAGAAAATTCTGAGTAAAATATTTTAAAGTAAAAAAAATAATGACAGAAATGTGGAATGGATAATTAATTGACAACAAACAAATTTAATAGAATTGAGATCTAGGTCTTAATAATATTGGTTCTGGGAATTATTTTGTACAGACTGAGCTTTGAAGAAGAACGCTTTTTAGTACAATTTATATTTTATTGATAATATATTTATAAACTACCTCTTTTATCTATATAATATTGTTATATAAGTTAGCTTAATTTTGAAGGAATTTAGCTATTTTACTTTTTATTTAGGAAACTAATATTCTACTAGAATTAGAAAGCTTAAGATGTCAACCTCTCTTCACTACCATTTATCGGGCCAATATCGTACTGACTTTTATAATCAAAGAAAATGCTTTTTAAAATTTTTTTTACTATTATTTATTAGATGTATGTTTCTTTCCTGGTTGAAATTTTAAGTTATTTCTTATGGCTCTTGTTCTAACATTAAAATTACAAAGAATTATTTATTTTTAAAGTTAAACTAATATATCCACTTTAATTTTAATTTAATGCAAATAATTATTAAGATTTTTTCTCCCTCGTTATTTAAACTCCAATTTTAAAAAAAATTTTTTTAATATGTAGGGTCAAATATTGATGTAAATGTATCCTATCTCAATTTTTTTATTAAGTGTTTTTCAAACTTAATTTTTATTTTCTGTGCTATTTTATGTTATAAGGCTTGTTTAATATCTTTAAGAGTTTTGTCTCTTTATTACAATCTTCCATGTTCATCTTACTAAAATTTCTTCGTTAAATACATGCAGTGTTCAAATTCAACTGTATGTTTCGGCATCGCTAAAAAGTTATACCTTGTATTTTTTATATTATTAATAATCTTTTTAAAAAAAATAAAAATTTAAGATTTTGTTTTTAGATATTATTTTTTTTTGTAAACCATTCATTAAATATTTTAATCATTATTTGTGAGTGTATACTTAAATAATAAATTAGGTAGTATACGTAAAGTATATTATGTTATATGATTAATTTATAAAGAAAATGTCTATACGGTGCTTATAAACTTTGCTGTAATTAATAAATGGTTTTTAGATTCTGTTATATTTGAAATAAAAAAAAGAATCTATTTTTTGATCAAGTCCCTTAGGCTCCTTGTTTTTAAATCAAATTCTTAAAAAAATCCATAATAAATGGCAAATAAGATGAAATAGGTGACAGAGATGCATGTAAAAGAAAACATTTAAATATTTTTTAGATAAGGCTTCCAGACGCCCCGGTGAGGTGTTTTTAGAACCCAATTTAAGTAATTTTACAAATTCGACCTTTTGTTATATAATAATTCTTTTAATTTCTAAAATACGTTCAGTGTCTTATTAACTACAGTGTAATTATATTTATTATCTCATAAAACTGTTTTTCTTTCAGGTCCCGGCAGTTAATATGTTAATATGCATTTCAACGAACATTCCTAATGCCAAATGTAAATTTTATTGTAAATATCAATGAGTTTCTATCTTTTGTCTTTAGGTTTAAGAAACTTTGTTCAATAAAAATTAGTTCTTGTATAATTCAATTAAATCGCTCTATTCTTCCGTGTGACTGATGCTAAACTAGGTAGATAGTATAAATTTTAATAGCGTCTTTTCTTGCACAATAATACTTCAGTTCTTAAATTTTCTAATAACTGGTCAAAAATAAAAATTTGAATCTTTACATTCCTATAAACTTTAACTAATTTTTTGCTGCTATTAATCGTTATTGTGATCCTAAACCGCGCATTCCTAGAAAAATAATCAGCTGCTATAATAATGTTAATTTCTTTGAAATTCCAAATATATTAGCAGTTGAACTTTCCACCAAATTTAATACAATAACAAAGTTTTCTCTCTTTTTGGACTGTATTTCTTGCATTTTAAGCACATATTGAGTTTTTTTTGAGGTCGTAACTATTAATGCTATTCTTTTACAACTACGACATACTGTGCACCTATTTAACATGCTTTCTCAATAAGTTTCCGTTTTTTTATCATTCATCTCAATCAAATTATTATTTGAAGTATTTATTTTTTAATATATATCATATAAAAGAGTCCAAATGCAACATCAGAATATTTAGGATGAATTATCGTATAGCTATGCACTCGATTTGTCTATGTACTTTTGTATTCATAAAGATATTATTTTTACTCGGTTAAATCTTACAACATAATGATTAGTTATTACTTTAAATTCATATCAGTTTATAAAATATCTAAATTTTCCATTTTCCATAAAACATTCACATATTCTTTCTCGCCAATACTTTAATTTTATTCAACAAAAATTTTCTCGGGGTAAATGCAATTAAGTTTAGTACACAATAGCTTTCCTGTGATAGTTTTACACAAGGTCCTAAATTTTATGCATCTATCCCTTAAATGTGTGGTTTGTCATAATCCGGCTGTTTAAGAACGTTATTTGACACTACAATTCTTTTTAAGACGTTTTAAGAGAGTCTAATTCCTATCTCAAACTAATTTTATTTCGTTTTGTACCGTCATATCGACAACCATAATTTTTTTGCGCTCAGGAAGAAATTTTTACTAAAAACAAAACAGCCCAAATTTTTTTTGGTGAGCTCTAATAAGTAAGATTTATAAGATTACTTATTAATTATTTCAAGGTATATTTGATTAATTTTTATTATATGATATCAAACCATCAAGAAAAGTATTTTTTTTTATTTTACTATTTATCTCCTCATATTATTAAATTCATACACCCACAATTTATCTAAACCTTCAACTAATAAATGTTATGTTATTCTTTTCGATAGCTAAAAATGATTTTGTCATTAACAAACAGAACAACCACATCTATTTATTTATGCAAACATCATCAATAAACCTTTTAAAATGGCTCAAAAACTTTTGTAACAAATCAACATGATATTTCATTTATACATAAAAAATTTTAAAATCCAAAAGTTGGTTTTAATTATTTTCTTACTACTTCTATGTAGTAAAACACATCTTATAAATTTAACTTATAAACGTATATTTTGACATGAAGGTTTGAAAAAATTTGTCGACATTTAATAGCAAATAACTGGAAAATTTTGGCAGTTTATTTAAAGATACTAATTTTGTGATTGCCATCGCCAATTTGTCAGATTAAATTACAAGTCTTAAAATTTTTAATCATTTTGATTTAGACTTTCTTGTATATTTTTTCATCAATAAATCTGTAAAAAATTACAATTTTTTCTCATAATTTCATAAATATATTATTCTTCTACAATTTTACTTTCTTTTACTTTATACATTTCATAAACTCTATTTTTTATGATATTGTTCAAAATCTATTTTAAGAATGTTTATTAATAAATATTTTGAACTTCTGCACCATTGGTAAGATACAAAACTTAGATTTGCTGTCTTTTCATAAAAATAATCTAAACAGATATTTAATAATGAAAAGTTCTTTTTCTGAACATTTAAAAAGTTTATTTCTTTTTACTACTATAAATTTTCAATTAAAGCTCAGCAATGGCTGCTTTATTGCTTATAAAACTATAGTATGCAATTAAATCAAACATTATGTAAAATAAAAACCTTAAATATAAATAAACTTGCTTTTATTATTAATACTCTTGTATCATTTAATCATCCTCGTTTAAACTGCATAAATATTCTTAAATCTTAACTGCCTTCTTTTTAATAACAGTTTTAACAATGTGCTAATCTCTATCTTAATGATAGTAAACATGTTATTTATTCTCCTTAGATGAAATGTGTATTTTTTGTAGCATCATATTTTCAACTTTTCTTTCTATATCTACAATATTTAATAAAAATATTTGAATTTTTTATTGTCTTGACAAAAATAGTCGTATTTTGATAAACTTAAACAAAGCTCTATTTCTTTATATTTTTCCTAGATCAGTCTTCCGATGTTTGCCAAACAAACATTTTTTAGATATTATCAAAATTTACAGACATATTTTATTCCCTTTATTTTAAGTATAGATCTTGTAAAATTTATTACTGCAATAAAGTCTCTTTATTGCTAAATAATTCAATATTTTAAATGTTAGAAAATACTTTTTTTTCTTTATTCGCTTACAATGCCAGTTTACTATTCTAACTATTAGCTTTAGTTATAAAGTAATCATCAGTCCTGTCTTAAAGAAAATATATTAAAACTAAAAATTAAGAATTGCCCTGACCAGCTTCTCAAAATATTTTCTTTTCTAACCTCAAATTTCATATTCTCAATGATGAAAATTTTATTCAAAAATAGGGGCTACTAAAGCTTAATTTTTAGAATTCAAAATCTACAATACTATTAGAGAACCCTTGGTTTTCTGTAAAAGAATTAATCCGTACAGATATTAAACAAAAAAATTATTAAATTCATTTTAAGTAAGATATATGCTATAGAAAAATTACTCTAATACTTATTAATGAAAATTTCAATAATGACTTAAATAAATCAATCACTATAGTACTAAATTAAGATTATATTTTTTACTACTTTTAACATTTCAAATTTCATTTCTAAAGTGTTTTCTATATGTTCGCAATGTTTATTTTTGGTAAATCAGAGTTTTTCTCCGAATTTTTTTTATTTAATGAAAAATGAAATTTATGGCCTCTTATTTTTTTGAGTTTTTTCATTTGTGTAATTATAAATTGCACCCTTTCTATATTATATACCATTGTTTATAGTTAAATATTTGCATTATGTTGTTTTATGATTTATAGCTACACCTATTTCAGTTTCAACAAATGCTTTTAAACCTTCTTTCTTTATTTTTTGTAGAAACAGTTTTATAAGTGTTTTGTATTGCCACAAAAAAACAAAAAATTAACACAGATGTTAAATTAAAATAATTTATATTTAAAGCTTATAACAAATAATTTTTTTAATAAATCTATTTAACGAGAAAATAATTATTTTAAAAGTTTTAAAGTATTTTTAAAAGTATCTTTATCAACAAAAAAATAATGTTTTGTGCTTTAAGTACTGAGTATTTAACAATTTTTTGCAAATAAGAGACAAACAAAATTTATTGCATCCACACTGTATTCTTTAATAACATCTTGTGGTATTAATTACCACCAGGAATGTTTCTCCGTTTTATAAAAAATTTAATGTAAATAAAAATTTTTATGGGTCCCTTAATGTTTTTCAGGATGAAACACAAGTACATACCAAAGCAGAATAGAACCTCCGGCCATTTGAATTCATCCAATAATGATCAATCTAAGCGCGTATTCAATAGACCCTATCTAGTGCTAAGATCCTATTTTCATCAGCAAGAAAGTGTAATAGAGAACTTTGTGTCCACTAGCCAGCTCCCTGTCAATATTTTCACACATCTATAAATATACATTTTTTATAAAATATTTTTTAATATAAAATCTAATGATTTAAAAATTTAATTTTTATTTAATTGTCAAATTTATCAAAGAGTACATAAAAAATTTTTTTAACCAGATTCATATTTTAAAACTTCTAATAGAAGAAACAACTTACAGTAATATTAACAGATAAATATAATCTTTTGTGTAAAAATTGATCAAAAAATTCGTTAATTACATATCTTTTATGATTATTATGTAAATGTAAAACTTCTAATGCGAGTAGGTCGGGGTAACTGCCTCGTTTTGAAATGGGTTTATAAGTAACTTTTATAAAATGACCTTTATTGGTTACCATGTTTTTCTTATTGATATTTGAATAATCTTTCACATTAATTTTTTTTGTATTCTTTTTTTGAAAATTTTATTTATGAAATATAAAATTCTAGAAAATTCATAAAATTAAAATCAATTATTCACAGGCATACAATTTAAACTAAAAAAATTTCTTTTGATGTATTAGTTAAAAAATTGTCGATTTTGTTATGTATATTTGAACAATACAGTTAACTACACTCTCTAATTTTAACAAATAACAAAGTTTTAAATGTATTTATCTACATGTACAATTTTTTGTATGTTATGGATAACCATAACATGTTTTTTTGCATTAAGTTGCGACATTAGAAACCATGTTACAAATATAAATCTGATTAAACATTAATTTTGAAAAATAATTGGTTCGTGTTTATTTATTTTAAATTTATCTAAAACAAAAGCTATAAATAGATAAAAATTAGCTATCCATGGAACTAAATAGACGTTATATAAAAAATCTTTTAATTTTGGTAGTTTAATCGAGTACTATCTAAAGAATAATACACTACCAGCTATTTCCGACAATGTATTTAATATCTTTTATGAAGTCAATAAGACACAGTGTGATATTTTTTTAACATTATCATAAGCATTTTTTCTTTACTAAAATTAATTATGTCAAGATCTTAATTTTAAATGTGTTACGGCTACAAAAATTTACATTATTTAATTTTG